CGCAGCAGACAGCGCCGCGGGAGAAGCCCTTTCTGGGGCTGAAGCTGTGCAAACGCAGCCCCTGAGCCCGCTTTTGAGGTGAAGACCAAGCATGGCTGCAGTCAGGGGGGAAGAGCAGCCAGCAGCCAGCTCCAGGGCCTGTGATCCCCGCACCAACAGCAGCGTGAAGCGGAATTGGAGAGAGGAGGTGAAGCCCAGGGGACGAAGTCGCGCAATAGGGAGTCAGGTAAGACTTGGTTGTTGTTTTCTCCAAAGCAAGAAACTGCTTCGGAGCTGTTCCGTTCTCATTCTCAGCAAGCATGTCTCGTCCCTGCTCTGGCTGGATTGGAGTAAGAGTCCTGCAAAGCCAACTCCACCGAGGAGTTTCAGGCTCTTCCCTCACCGCACCAGAAAGCCTCTCACACCAAGGTGCCTGTGACCGAGTGTGGCCGATCACCGCGTGGGACATGGCAAGCGCACACCTGCGCGGCTGCCAATGGGCATCAGCAAGAACCTGCGGAAACGAGAAACTCCAAATGATGCAAGCAGCTGTTGGCGCTGGGTCAGGCTCTGGTTAACGCCCCGGGTATTGATTACCGTCTCACATTCAGCATCTCCAATGGATTTTCATGCGCACCAGGCATTGAACACAAAGCCAAGACAGCGCGGGAGATCAGAGACCTCAGGACTGGCCGAGCACAGACCCGAGGGGTGACCCCGGCCACCCCCAAAGCCCCCCTGCCCTTCCCCAGGGCAGCATCCTCAGCTTGGGCCTTTCCCAGCACCCTGCTTCGGTCACCACCTCCTCCCAAGCCATCTCCTCGCCAGGCACAGGAGCTGCACCCGGACGGCGAGGGGCTTTCTGCGGGTTGAAGGTGACGCAGGGTCGGGCACAGCCGGACGAACCGCTCATCCCAGACACAACCCGACGAACCGCTTGTCCCGCGTGCACAACGCAGAGAAGGAGCTTACCCAGACCCTTCGCTGCAGAGCGCCCAGCCTGCCACCACCGGAGGGATGGAGGCAGGGAGGGAGGCAGGGAGGGAGGCAGGGAGGGAGGCAGGGAGGGAGGGAGGACGGGAGGCCTGTGCACGACTCC